AGCACCCCAGCCTGGTTCCCCGCGCGCAGCCGCGCAGCCGCCCGGGCCTCGCCTCCCGACATGGATTTCCTCCTGGCACTGGTGCTCGGGTCCTCGCTCTACCTGCCGGCGGCCGCCGAGTTCGACGGGAGGTGAGTGGGCCACGGGGCGCCCTCTCCGCCTCCTTTCCCACGCTAATCTCCCACGGTCCGAGGGCCCCTAGCCTGGAGCGATGGCGCTGTCGCAGAGGCGTCCCTCCGTCCAGAAGCTGGGCCACCGCATCGCCTCGGCGGGAGGAGAGCCGTCGAGCCGCTCTCACCAGCGCGACTCCCAGGCCGAGCCGGAGCTCGGACACACAGCTCCCGGCTCGGGATCAGAGTCTGGGGAGACGGGAGGCTCGAGCCCGACATCTCGGCTCTGAGGGCCTGGGTCAGCCGTTAAGAGGAGGTGACGCGCGGGGCATCCCTTTGAGGGGAACCTGTAGGTCTTGATTTAGACGGCACTTCAGTGGGGAAACTTTCTGGTGGCCGTGGCCAAATCCGGGCTCGGAGCTGTCAGGGTCGCTCACACCAAGGGTGGCACTCGGCTTCCACGGGGCAATCGTCTGCCTCCCCACTTGATTTTCTTGAGGGAGGAGGACTCGAAATAAGGATTGACGTTGGGGGACGCTGTGTGTGTGTGTGTGTGTGTGTGTGTGTGTGTGTGTCTAGTCAGCGGGGGTGGGTGGGCCCGCGCGCGCCCACACAGCCCTGAGACCTCGGGCGAGCCTGACTTCGGCGTGCTCTGACAGGTTCCAACAACCAGGCTGCGTCTCCGCTGTCACTCAGCCCGTCCTCCCGCCGCGGCGCGCGGCGCCCTCTCCCCCGCCGCCGGGTGCGCTCGGCGAGTGTGAGTGAGTGAGTGAGTGAGCGAGCGAGCGTGTGTGTGTGTGTGTGTGTGTGTCGGGAGGGCGGTGTGGGTTACCCCACCTCCGCGCAGTTACAGACCAGACTCGCCCCGAGCACCGATCGCTGCTGCTCGCGCAGAAACCCAGCGGAAGCAAGCAGGCGAGATTTTCACTTGGGTCACACCGCTTTCCAGTCGCTCTCTTTCAGCGACCCCCTCCCCCCTCACCATCAATTATCTCCCTGCGCAGCCCTAAAGACTGCCGCACCTGTTTTACTTGCAATCTTGGAACGAATCAATTCCACGATTGATTGGCTTTCTTGTACCTGGAGGGGAACGGAAGGGAACCAGTGGAGCGCAACCGCTTGTTTACCACCTGGTCGGAGGAAATAAAAAAAATTCGGGGTGATTTTGTACTTTGGGTTTGGGGGCATAATGGGGAGATAAAGGATAGGGGAATTGATTAATAGAAATAAAGAAAAGTCGGGTAGCGGCCAGAGGCTATTAAAAAAAATGTTTAAAGCAATTCTTTGCCCACTTTCGGGTTTGTTGTGCTTTTCTTGCACACCCGTTTGTAACAAGAAATATGTCAGATGATTATGCATAAGATTTTAATGTAGCTTTAAAAAGCTGTCTAAAACAGCCAGTTAAAATATTGATCCCGGTGGTGGTGGGGAGTCATTTAGGTGTCTAAACAAGGAAATCATTTACCAAATAAGGTGCCAAAGTGGAATCTGGTGGATAAATCGGTATCCTGACATTAAATACTTTTTTTAGTCCTTATTTACATTAGAGAGGAAGATAACACGAATTGTTGATGCAGGAAAGTTTCAAACCACAAGGACACTTGAGATGTTAGCAGCACTTTAAACTCTCTTTGATTTTATTTAGACTTCTTTTTCTAGTGCATTTTTTTCTGGGAACTTTTTTTCACCAAAGAGCCAAATCTCGAAAGAGTTCTGTTGATTTTGAGGAACCTCCTCTCTTTCTGCCCCTTCCCACATCTACCTTTTATATGTGGCAGATTTTTTTTTGCTTTCTGCTTTGACATGTCTAAATACTTTTTCAATTTATGATGAATAAGTCAAAACTGGTCTTCCCCCCAGTAACAGGTGTGGGTCTTTGAGGAATCTGTTTTATTTCATGCTTCAGAAGCCACCCTGTGAGAGGCAGCCTTGAGAAACTTGGTTTTAGCTGTTGCTATTTTCATTTAAGGATTTTCCCCTCCCCTTTCACCTACTCGTGTGTGTGTGTGTGTGTGTGTGTGTGTGTGTGTGTGTGTGTGTAACTGTCTGAAATTTGAAATTAGATCACAGCAGACTGTTTCCCCGAAGGTGTTTTATCCTTAAATTTCTACAGGCTTGAAGGCGTTCATAGAAAATGGTTGGATGCGATTTAATTTTTTTTTCTAAAATAACAGGAAATTATTTTCAATTTCAAAAGCGTCTTTATTTATTTTCAATCTTTTTGTTTGGTAGGTGGCCCAGGCAAATAGTGTCTTCAGTTGGCCTGTGTCGTTATGGTGGGAGGATTGACTGCTGCTGGGGCTGGGCCCGCCGGTCCTGGGGACAATGTCAGCGTGAGTATCATCACCCTGAGGACTTCATCTCCCTGGGAGTTGGGGCTGTCCACCCTCATTCATGGCTTCACTCTGCATATTGGAGGGCTCATTACAAGCAAGGCATGGTGGTGGTGTGGTTCTGGCATGGGAGTTTCCAGGTACAGGCCCTGGCTCCTTATCCTACCCCATTCCAACTTGAGCCACCTGTAGTAAGGAGCCAGTTTTGTTATTCACGGGATGCTCATTTCAGTATTTGTCCCCAGTATCTCCCATCTCCTGTTTTCTCACCAGGTTCACTCTTTTCTTTGCTCCAGGCTCTGAGATGGGGGTAAGATAATGAGTCTAGACTGTATTTACACTAAATAAACTCTGAACCTTATAGCACTTATAAAATCCTTACCATAGCTGTTGTGTAAAGTGGCCGATTTGTAAATCCTTTTTTGAAGTAAGGTTGTATTGACTGTGTTCTTAGTGGACCACCCAGTATAATCAAATAACACCTCTGAAATAACATCATTTTTTAAGTTTTATAAGTAATCTTGTAAATGTCAAATCAGAACACTGATTTTTACCTTTTCCATAACACAATGGATATTTTTATGGTAAAAAAAAAATAGAGCTACATCACAGAAGTTTGAGAAATTTTTTTGCAGAATTTTATCTGGATCTCAAAATTGCATGTCACTCCCCTTACAAAAAAAAAAAATCCACAAAAATCACGTAAATTTCAGGGGCATCTTTAGAATGATAGTTTGGCGGGTCTGTCGAGGTGATGGGAACTAAGCTGGATTCTTTACATCCCAATGTTTTACTGCCAGTGATAAAGGAATAGAGAGAGAGAGCTAGAATATGGAAGGGTAGTTCAGAAGGCTGGAGCTGGAAGGGGAGGAGTGTGCCTCAGAGATGTGTTGGTAACGTGAAGAGTTGAGTAAATTAAGTTCAGAAAAGTTAGAAGTTCCCTTAGCTGTTTTAGTCTTTGAGAATTGCATGTGATATCTACCCCAAACTTCCTAAAGGGCGTAGAGTGACAGTCACAGGTTGCCTCTGTCATTATACATGTAGACTGACGTCTCTAGTTGGGGATGGAAAGATAACAGGAACTAGTGTTTGTCTACCTGCAAGCCACTGGGCCAGACCTTTTGCACAGTTGGGATATTGCATTCCATTATAAAGGGAGACAGCAGTAACTTCAGATTCCAGTAAACAAAAGAACTACATGAAGCTGCTGTGCTCCCACTGTTTTTAAGAGAAGATGGTCAGAAAGAAGAATCATAGCTGGTGGAATATAGTCTTCTGCCAGTTTTACCACAGTCAGAAGTGTTTGCACAGCTGGAGGCCACAGGTGTGGAATTTGAAGAGCAATCAGGCTTTGATAATCAAAGGGTGAAGAGAGAACCCTTCTTTAGGCCCAACACACGTACCTTTCCCAAATAAAACGTGTAGTGTCTTTTCAGGAATGGAGATAGTTTCCTCCTCCTTTGCCGCCTTAATTGGCGAGACACTTTCAGAGCTAATGTTGAAGTGCTTTGGGGTGTGCACAGTCCCCCCACCCATCCCAGGACAAGGCTGCGCTGGCATAATGCCCTGAGCAGAGTGGAGCGTGCCTTCCCTGAAGGCAGAGGGCCAGGGCAATGGGCAGAGAGGCATAGGAGCACACACGTACCCCGCCACATGTGCTAAAAGAATTCCAAGGAGAAAACTCCTCTATCTCTTAGAGGTATTCCCCAGAAAGAACCTCGAGGAGCTGTTCTTTGTCTCTCTGCCATGTCATTGAATCTTCTTTAGTATATACCAGCTTGGTGATTCTGAATTTGAATGAGTATAAAGGCCTTTCAAAGTTCTAGTGGCATTACAAAATTTAAACATCAAAACAATTTCCTAGCATTTCGCTTTTTGCACAGTAGCCTTCCCAGCAAATATAGGATGCTATTTTATTTTCTATACCTTCATTTTGTTTCTGAAAGATCGAAAGTGGTCAGATAGAGTATTTGATATTATTCTTGTTATCCCTCAAGAATCTGAGGATGTTGCAACATGGCATGAGTTAATTCTTGAAATGGTAATGTTATAAAAACGTGTAAGATGATCCTGCATGAATCACAGTTTACCTTAATTTAGATTTGGTGAAAGTTTGAGAGACAGCATAGTGGAGGGCAACATGGACTCTGGAGCATGACTGCCTAGATTTAAATTAGTTGCACCTCTTATTAGCTGTGTGACCCTGAGCAAGTCATTCAATCTCTGTATGCTTCATTTTCCTCATCTCTAAAACAGATCTAAAATAGTACAATACCTCATAGGTATAACCATAGGAAATTGAAATAAGTTATTATTTGTAAAGCACTTAAAATTATTCCTGGCACAGAGTAAACACTACATATGTTCGGTGAAGTTAAAGAAATATAAAGGAATACTGCTGTTGAAACAGTGTCGTGGGGTGAGACATACCCGTGCTAGCGGAGTCTTTGTTCTCTAGGCATGCTATACATATTTTATATTTATACTGCTGAAATAAAAAAATCGGCTCTAAATTCTCCTTGTGTTGCAATAAAATAAAATGCCTTTAAATTACAAAGGGCCAGATGGATCTTTACCATTAATATTGTAGATGGCAAAGTTGTAAAAATGAGTTCAAAGATGGACATGTCCTTGTGTGTGTTTAATTTTTCCAGAATCTCAGATGGTCCAAATGTCTTGTCAGTTCAGAGAGGCCCCCGTCTTTGTTTTGCTATTAACAGGTAGAGGAATGTGGGATGAGAGGTCAGCTCAAAGTGGGAAGAACTGCACCCAAAGGGGCTTGCTAGGGACAAATGGAAAACTCCTGATTCGTTTTTTCAAGAAAGCCTTTGTGAAGTTAAAACCTTTGTCACTGTATTTATTCAAGGAAAATGCCTTGGTATTCTTTAACAGTTACATCTGGTAATGGATTACCTATAAAAATTCCAACGAGTTTCTGGGAAATTTAATGTGAAAAATGTTTTTGCCTCTCTGACCCTTAAATAATCTCCGCGTTCTTTCACATGAGGAGACTTCTCCCTTCCTTATGAAATGTGCCCTGGTTCTCACTTTTTTTCTGAATGATTCACTTTGGAATTTTCCTTCAAATCAGTGCAGCAAAATAAAAGGAAGCTATTTCCACCTAGACCCAGAAGCTCCCACTTTATCCCTTAGAAGACGTGTGTGTAAGCTGGAGAGGCTGTACCCTTACGCTGGATATTTATCAGATCTCGTACCCTATTGCAGTGTCACTGGGCTGCGTGTTTATTCCATTTGGTTGCACGTATGTGAGATATTTGACTCAATGTTCATGGGGTCAAATATATGTGTTTCCACAAAACATGCTATATTTTATTTTCACTTGCTACCAGCTTTTCCTGGACTTGTTTGGAAAGGCCAGCACCACTGCAGGCACTAGCATTGCTCAGGCTCAGCTCCTGGCCCACCGTGTCTAGCCACAAAGCCACATTCAACCAGACTTCCTGTCCTCTCTGGGACTGAGGAAGGGAGGATCAGAGATGCTACCCAAACAGGCAGGCATAGGAGCTGTCCTTGTGCTTCCTGCCCGTGCCATCCAACACTCCGTCCCAACATTCCTGCCAGCTAAGAAAGCACAGCCTTCCAGAAATAGGCAGGTTGTGTTTTCATAGTTCTTTTAAAGGTCATACCCTTGCTTTTTGTCTTGTTATTCTTTATATTGTATTCTTGACTCATAAACAGATCATTATATATTGAGACTTCAAAATTTGAGGTCATACCCTTGCTTCTTTCTGTCTTTTGATTCTTTATATTGTATTCTTTACTCATAAACAGATCTCTACATATTGAAAATTCAGAATTTGATTTTCTCATTGTCTTGAGCTTTATCAGCTATTAATGAGGCTCTGTTATGAAGGGAAATTTTCTTAATATGTTCATAACACACTGATGGTTACATATTTACAGTACACAGCAGCTTAACCACTCATATTGTAGTAAAATATGTTTCTTGCTCTGTAATTATTCTATTTCTTAACTTTTCCATCATATTAATGGCTCACTTCATTTTAATTATTTTAACAATTTCTCTACTACCAAGTGGACATCTCTGTAATAAAGATTTCTTGGGGTTTGTATATTTATTTGAAAAAGCAGTGTATGACTTGGAACCAATTCTTAACTAAAATAAAAAGCACTAGACTGCTGGGGGCACCTGAGTCCAGCCCTAACTTTTATACTTGATTAGCTATTTAACATTTCTCAGCTGCAGTTTTCTTATTTGACAAGCAGATTTCTAAGATTCCATAATGTGGAAAAGAGTATAGAGGATCTAGATATGGTATTTCTATATAGTTGTCTTTCTGTTTATTGGGCGATTTGGCAGCATATGTGGTTATGACAATAGTGTTTCTGTTGAAAGCGCTTTATAGAGGTGTGAAGAAAAATGCAAAATAACAACTCGTTCCAGGTTTCAATAAAGCTATTCAGTTTTTGAGTTATTTGGCTGTCAGTGAGTGATTTTTGGTTTCTGACGGAAATTATGTGAATTGAGGTGGTTTTGCATCATTTTTACTTAACACCAGGCAAAATACAGATGTTTTATGTTTTATGTTTCTCTGGAGATTTGGAAAGATGTAAAACCTAGAGTTTCACCTTGTTTTATTAGCTCGAAACCTCATTTCCTCCTACCTCTCCCCGAAGTTAGTAAAGGCTACAAATGTACAATTGCCATATAAAGTGAAATTTTTGGATTCTTATCAACATTAGATAAACATAGCTTACTAGTGCAAACTAGTGACTAAAAAATAGTAATTCATTTTGGAGTCATCAAGTAATTTTAGTTGGATGATCTTTATTATTGGTTATTGATTGTGGACCACTGGTAAGAATGATGAGTGAATTGTTGAATTTTTTCTGTATTTCAAATGAAAGGTTAATAGTTTAAGCAGGGAATTTTGTTTTAGTAAATAAAACATTTAATTTTCATGTTTCATTCCTTACATTTATCTGGGTTCAGAAACTCAGCCTTGTAAATGGAACAT